ATCTAGGTAGTGAAATCAACAATGAACGACCTAGGTCCAGAGTTGAGCAGGAGAAAGCGAGCGGCTTGGGGAACGTTTAGGAGCATCGAAGATGTAGTGAAGAGGACAAAGAACATCCGATTTCGTGCACACCTTTTCGACTCGACGATTATTATTGCCCTAGCGTTTGCAGCAGAAACCTGGTGGCTACGTGAGCAAGATGAAAGATCACTTGGCGTTATCGAACTCGCAGTCGAAAGGTCGGTGCTGGCAGTATCCCGTATCTCGCAAATGAGAGAAATGATCCGAAGTTCCGACCTATGTCAAGAACTTAGGATCAAAGACGCCGTTCTGCACGCCAGTATATCGAAAATAATGTGGGCTGGACACGTGATGCGCTTCAACGACAACCGGTGAACAAGAGCCGTTACCGACTGGATTCTTCGGGACATCAAGCGCTTTACAGGAAGACCACCGACCTGATGGTCCGATTTCTTGACGAAAGGCATAGAAAAAAGATATGATGCTCAGCGAATCCCTAGAGCGAAGAGGACTCGCTGGGCTACTCTTGCGCGCGATAGAGAAAAATGGAAGTGTTGCTTCACGACAAACCCAGTACAAATAGTGCGAATAACTTCAATATATACGCTACCAGATAAAGTTACTACAGTCGTGTCAGTTGATATGAGTTCACATAAAAGTTTTTCCAAATGTGACTAAAAACGAGAGAAAGCTTTCTTTATGTTGAATCGTGGTATTGCTTCGGATCATGAAAAGTTTCTCATTAATGTTGCTAACCAATATGAATATACGACAGAGAGAACTCAACTAATCTCCTGTAACACCGAAAGTCTCTGAGTTTACTCAAAATTTACCTTTGATAAATATTCCCATAAAAACAACCGCTCCGATGATTGTCAATGAGCATATTAATTGCTACATTTGTTAGAGTCAGTTTGCGTGGTGGTGAAGCTCAGCTTCGCTTGGAGCATGTCTTGTAAAGCTACATACGAAATTGCACAAACCGTTCTGCCATTTACTCATTCTCTTTATCTGCAGAAATTTTGGCCGCCATTTGCATGCACTGCTTGCAATCGTGCTCAGCCTGAACACGTTCATCACCTAGAATCTATTGCCCATCACTATCCAAATTGACCCACAAATATGACGATTATACCCACTGAATCTAAATCTCTTCGTTAATAATAACATGATCACTGCTAAAAAAAACATTTAAAATATAAGCATTTAGATTATTGCTTACCACACCAAGCCGTTAAACGTTGGTTGCTGACACTTACGATAGTTCATATTGAAGAAAGAATAGTGGCAGAGAAGTGACGCCGGTGGTGTAGTGGTAGCAGGCTATACCGGTGTGAGTGAAACACTGTTTCACTCCCACTTTATGCCGATTGTTTGGCATGTAAATTCAGAGGTAGTCGCTTAGATAATTCCTGATCACCTTTGAATCTCATCCTAGTCACTGGTATGTGTAACCAAACGCTACAATTTTGTATATATAAATTTATTTATATGTATATATTATATATATATATATATATATATATATATATATATGAGGCGCGTAAGAAGTTAGTTTTGTATTTTTGGTAATTTTAACGCTGAATTAATGACTTTTTATTGTTTCTGATAATTTCATTAGAACCTTGGTTCAATTTTGGTCTAGATTCTGTATCATTCATTTGTCTGTTATCTTTTCATCTGAAAGATGTGCTCAAGTCATGAGTCGTAAAAATCAGCGTATCGCAGTACATGAGTTAAATAAGGCGGGAATGAAAAAGTTCGACATTGTTGAAATTGGCTGATTACAAACCATCAAGTGTCTAAAGAGCCGTGAAATGTTTCAAAGAGATTAGAGGACTTAGGGTTGTCCTCGGTGTGGTCGTCTAATCACCTCATCTACTTCGGAAAACGTCCACAAGACTAGTTGCCAAGTTCAACGGATTCCGGAGCGTTCGATGCGCCAAACTCCTCGGAAAGCTCAGGATCAGCGGGCGGAGCATCAGAAACATTATTAAAAATAAGCTGAAGCTGTGCAACTATAAGGCCAATCGTGTTAACCCTCTGGACAAAAAGGTGAAAGAAGAACGGCTTTCAAAGGCTCGCCTAATGATTTGTTTGATCTGTGATTCTCGTTTGTCGGATGTGCTTTCCACGGTCGAGAAGAAATTCATGATCAAACTACCCCACAATCGCTAGAATCGATGTAAACTTCTCAAAATTGATCAGCAGTTGTCCGTACTAGCAGGAACCATGGGCCGCAGTCATTTTCCGCCTCTGTGATGGTCCGCGTCGGCATTTGCGCCACCGGAAAGACGCTGTTGGTCTTCATCAACGAAAGCGTCAAAATCAACGCTGCCAGCTATCAGCATCAAATTCTGGGGGCGGAGGGAGGAGGGCGTACTGGAGCTCTGGATTACTCAACACTTTGGCGCCTATGGATTTACGCTTCGGCAGGATTGGGCTCATGTGCATTCGACTCGTTCAACGGTTGTCATCTGTCAACAGCAGTTTCCAGGCTTTTCGCGCAAGGACATTTGACAACCAAACTAGCTGTATCTCAACAAAATGTTACTCCGTTGTTTATACTGAAGGTTTTGGCTACTCGCTACACTAGCGTAGCCAGCTTATAACGGTATTTACACGCTCTCGGGGCGAAGTTGCGGTGAAAACATGTGGGAACATCGTTGGAAAGTATCGCAAGCGAGTTTGTAAAAGTTCAAAGGCCAAAGGTTGGAGTTTCTGGAGTTTACTGTAATCTTCTTTGTTTACTATTACCATTGTTTATCTAATAAACGTAATTATTCCTTTAATCAAATAAATTCATGTGTTTACATCGCATTTTTTGCTGTTGAAATATTTGAGAAAATGATCACTGAATTCGTTTCTTCTTCTTATTGTTGAACGTCGCAGAATGCTGAATGAGCGAGTCTTCTTGCAATCTCGAGGAAAGTTTGGCTGTGGCGTTTCATGGGTGTTGTTGCTGACTGCCGGCGAGAGTTGCACGGTGGAGACTGGCTCCATGCGCGCCGCGACTAGCTTCACAACCACTCGGCTACGGTGCCCTGAGATGAATGACTTGGTCAGCCATGTAAACAAGATTGATACCTCGGCTTTGTGTGCGACGCAGAGCTCCTCTGACCACTGAGTCACATGGGCATATATATATATATTTATTTATTTATTTATTTATTTATTTACATGCATATATATAAAGCTACATTTATATACATAAATATAAACATATAAATATACGTATGTGTATTTATATTCATATATTTTTATTTATGTACATAAATGTTACTTTATATATAAGCATAAATATTCATCTATTATATACATAAAAATGTTTAATCTTACCACCCCAAAATTTACATGTATATTCCATTTACCAAAATATCTCCATACTACAACAATATCACCATTGACGTAAGAAGAGGGGTTCGACAAGGCGATACAATTTTGCCTAAACTATTCACTGCCACCCTACAAAACGTCATGCGAACATTAGAATGGGACGAAATGAGAGTGAAAATTGACGGTCGACAATTGAACCGTCTTCAATATGCCTGATAATCATTATTTGAGCCACGCATGTCAGTGGTCTGTCAATGAGGGCTGACTTATAGAGCCCGATACACGTGTTTCGAACTTGCTATCTCGTCAGTCGGGCAGCTACCCTTTCTCGTCTTTTGCCAATTCTGTGTGGGTGCTTCAGTCCCCATATTTAGACTAAGAGAAAAAATGATTGCAAGGCATATTGAATTTTGTGCTGTGGTCTTAGGAAAACACTCGAAACGAAAGTTATGATATATTGAATATACTAGCCACGAGCAATCGAGTGTACAAAACTCTGTGTTTGGTGAGTTCTTCACAGGACATGGAATGTAAAATGTTCGTCGTCGCTAACTCTTATTGTGGGGACTGGAGCACCCACAGAGATTAGCAAAAGACGAGAAAGGGTAATTGCCCGACTGACGAGATCGCAAGATCGAAACACGTGTATCGGGCTCTATAAGTCAGCCCTCATTGACAGACCACTGACATGCGTGGCTCAAATAATGATTATCAGGCATATTGAAATTTGAGCTGTGGTCTTAAGAAAACACTCGAAACGAAAGATATTAACCATCTTCGCTTGGCTGACGATATCGTTCTCATAACACCAAACATCAGCCAAGCGAAACGAATGTTGACCAATTTCGATAACGCCTGTGGAAAGATTGGTCTTCAACTGAATCTAACGAAAACAATGTTCATGAGGAACGGATGGGTTTCCAATGAACCGTTCACGCTCAACGGAACGGCAATTTCCGAATGCTCCAGTTACGTCTATCTAGGTCGTGAAATCAACATGATGAACGACTTAGCTCCAGAGTTGAGCAGGAGGAAACGAGCGGCTTGGGGAACGTTTAAGAGCATCGAAGATGTAGTGAAGAGGACAAAGAACACCCGACTCCATGCCCACCTTTTCGACTCGACGATTATTCTTGCCCTAGCGTATGCAGCAGAAACCTGGTGGCTACTTAAGCAGGATGAAATATCACTTGGCGTTATCGAACGCGCAGTCGAAAGGTCGGTGTTGGGAGTATTCCGTTCAAATGAGAGAAAGGATCCGAAGTTCCGACCTACGTCAACGATTGAAAATCAGAGACGCCGTTCTACACGCCAGGATATCGAAAATAAGGTGGGCCGGACACGTGATGCCCTTCAACGACAACCGATGGACGAGAGCCGTTACCGACTGGATTCCTCGGGACGTCATGCGTTCTAAAGGAAGACCGCTGACCCGTTGGTCCGACTTCTTCACGAAAGCGATAGAAGAAAGATATGATGCCCAGCAAATTCCTAGAGCGAAGAGGACCCACTGGGCTACTCTTGCACGCGATAGGGAAAAATGGAAGAGTTGCTGGTACCCGCTCGAGTCACTCGACGATCAACGGAACCACATTTGATACAGGTGATACCTAAGAGAATTGAGTGATGAGCAAAAACGCGGCGGCCCCAGACGGGAATTGAACCCGCTCTCCACCCCATCCGCGGAAGAGTGCTCTACCACTACACCACCGAAGCACATTTGCCCGACCACTCACCCCTCAATATCTCCATGTTAGCCGTCAGCCACCAACCCTCAACAGGTTTGTTCGGGTATGCGATTTCGCTTCATAAACCCAGTTTAGCTGACAGCCACTGTTAGACATGATAGTCCAAAATCCTAATACCTGCTTTTTCGCAGTGTTGTGATGTTACTTATAGTAGTGTAGTGGTAGAGCACTCGTTCCCGGATGTGGCGGAGCACGGGTTCGATTCCCACCTGGGGCCGTGTTTATTCCCACCACTCAGTTCTCCTATGTATACAAGTAACATCATAACACTGCCAAAAAGCAGTGAAAATACTAGAATTTCGGATTATATTCCGCTATAAGAAATGAGTGGTAAGCAAAAAGTCGACCTCAGGCGGAAGTCGAACTTGTGTTTCACCCATACCGTGGCATGTGCTACCACTGCAACACCAAGGCCTCTGCTTACCCACCACTCATTCTTCATCTGTCTATCACCGCTATCAACCACTAGAACCTTTAACAGGTTTGGTCGTATTAGCAATATCGCTTTGTAGACATAGTTGAACTGACACCTTTTTACTGCATTAAGCAGTAAAACATAAGAACTTTTAGATTTATATTTCAGTATTCGTTTCAAGTCTTCTGTAATAGAAGTTGACTACTTTGTGATTAGGAGAAAAGAAGCACGCTTATTTTGACGAACAATGCAAAGCATTGCATTGTGTTAACATGACGCATGTTTATTACATATAGTTTTGTTCGCTGCAATATTAAAAGTTCTACAGCATTCTTGAACTTCCGAAATTGACTTTGCTTCACGTTCTGATGTTGAATGTTTCCTATCTTATCATTCTTCCAACGTTAGTGAAGCGTGACGTTTCTACATGGACACTATGCACGATTCTTCAAAAGATTTCATATGTTGGTACGAATGTTGAAGAATGAATTCGCTGACGCAGACTTTGGAAAACATTTGCTCACTCAGTTTTCTCCATCGCTTTTTCCAATTGAGAATGAGCCGGAACTAATGCAGCATTGTTATTGTGGAGATAAAATTTTTGAACACTCCTTCACTGGACTCGATCTTCTGTTGATGGTACTCTCCAGCGGTTTTCAATTTTCTCTCTGCACTGTTTTCATGACTACTTGTATTTGGAGTCTCCTAACTGCTTTCCGTTTTATGAGCGACAAGGAAAAATGTAATCGTATGAGGAACAAAGTAGTTTCGTAATGTTTAGGTGGTAGATTTTCAGATACAAACACTCGTGATGTCAACTACTTTTCCGGCTTTATAGATTTTATTAGCATAGAAGGAGATCGTAAAAAGATCTTCAACATGCTTTTATCCGGAACGATTTCTGAGATCGACCGGTGATTGCTAAATGTTCGGGTAAATCTATCTAAAAATCATCATATTGGAATTCAACTCAAGTACTCTGTCACTATTTCGAAATGCTCTGATTTACTGAGTGAATATTTACCATTTTGACGACACAGCAAGCGTACCTATATGACATTAGTGTTATCTGTGATTAGTTACGAAATTGCCACAATTTGTTGATTTTATTTTTTTGATGCTTATTGGGCTTTCAATGGATCCAGATTTTCTTTAATGGCTTTCTTACACTTGTAATTACTCTCGGAATAAAAATCCAAAAGTTGTGTTGTTTGTTCAAAAGTGGTTATATTTCAGCTTTGAACAAGCAAAAGTGTAGTTGAATTGACAACTGTGTAGAAAGTTTCAGTCGCTATGAATCGTTTTGTAGATTAATGTCTATGTTTATCATATCCTTCTTCACCATGTTTCTAAACATCATCTGTTTTGAGATACAATGCGTCTATCTCTTCATGTACCGTGGGGTGGTGTGGAGAGCATAGCTGGAGTTCGTTATGCTTCATTACTCTTGAGTTTACTTGCACTCACAACTAAGCAAAAATATAAAAAGGTTTTTTTCTTCATAAAGTGTTTATCTGACAGCCGGTAATTATCTTGATCAGTGTGGTTGATCTGGTAAGAGATATTTGACTAACTGATAACTCGTCATAATCAAATCATAAAAGGCCTGTAAGTTTAAGTGGAAATTGAAGTGGCTAAATAATTTATCACTTGTAGAGTAATAAGATTACATCTGACCATTGCAATCTCAATCAAAAGGAGCTTATGATGGAATTGAGCAGAAATGCGCTTGCACATATTTGAAAATAGCAATTTTTCCTATTGCTGTTCGATTATATGTAATCATAGAGCTCTCTTTACGTGATTTTGTGCTATAACAATGAATTATAATAGAAATGTGATTGTACAAATTCGATGAACCAAAATCTGCACTCTCAAAAGAGAAATTTCAACAGATATGCTTATGGGAATTAATATTTGTTCACGTTCATCAAGCATAAATGTTGGAGAACTTGTGGAAGCATTTCAAGTGTACCCAGAAATCTGAAGAATATTTATAAATTGAGAAAGGTCGGCAAAATTATGTTCTGCGTAGTGGTAATACGGCGCAACATTGACATTTTCGATGAATGGGATGAAACTCTGCCCCATTCACCATACTCACTTGTCTCTTGCCGTTTTTCATGTATCTCAGTCACGTTCTTTGTGGAAAAAGCTTAAGAAACTGAGCAGAAGCCTTGACATATTTCGATTTTTCATAATTCGTAGAAGTTCTAGGTTTTACGCAATTGTTATAATAAAATTGCTATGTCGTAATGTTCGATGATGGAAGTACAAAATGATTATATATTTGATTATTTGACGATTATTTGTAACACTGAATTAAAGTGGATTGTTTTTGATATAGAAAATAAATGATGAGTACGAGTGAAATATGGATGAATATAAATAACAAAGCATAGAATTGCTCAGCAACAGTTCGATATATAACCTTTTCGTAAGCATTTGATTTTCCTTTTCATTAAAATGCGGCGTTTCAAAAAAAAGCATTGGCGTGTCACCTTGTTGCAGCGATGAATAATGTTCACAGTTGAGTATAAGTGGATGTATAAAACGTTATCACTTATATTACAGTAGAGTTGAGTTTGTTCTATAACTCTATAGAGGTTTGAATTCCTGAAGTACACCAATCTGGAAACTGTTGAATCTTATCGATGAAGTGGCATTCCAATTCAATGCGGAGTATCATTTTTGGCAAATACGTCATTCTTTTGTAGTTGTAATAGCATATTTCGGCAGAAATCGCCTTATTAAACTCTCTTCTATTTTATTAAACTATTCTCGACAATGAAATCCCTTTGATATCGATCAAAATCTGGACTTTATCAGAAACCTACAATATCGTACAGGAATCACTGCGATTTCCAGTGGGTAGAATTTGAGCTCATATATGCCATTGTAAGCAAACAAGTTGCAATAAGTTATCAATTTCTAAGCAACATATCAAATTAACAAGTAGTAGTGATGTAATAAGAGATGAAACAATACGTTAATATCTGCATTCTTTGATAACTTCATTTTTATTGTGTAACATCTTTCATCCAGTATCTAATTTACTCATGAGAAGGTTCCCGAATACACATTTCAGCCAGTGTACTTTGATAAATTCAATAAGCTAAAGGGAATATAAAGAAAGAGTAGGACAATCTTATTGACACCTCAACGATGGTTTTAAAATTGGAGCTTGCAAAGCCACGAAAAGAAATTCGTCTTTAAATGCATTTAAACGGTTAAAACACTCTTCGAAAGCATCAGCCACTAGGAATCGCTGAATCACACCCGCTTGCATAGCTCAATAACAATTTATACAAAAGAAAATAATCTATATACAAATTCCAAGAAATTGACGTTGGCAAAAAACTTATTCGTTTTCGGTCCTTTAATTGCATTCCACAAAGTGAAGAATTTGGTTGCTCTAGATAGTATGCGTTGGAAGGTGAACACAACCAATGGCATTATTCAAAAAAATAAACGGAAGAAAAATGAGAAAAACATACTACGAAAAATATTAAAATTCGAGTGTGGTCTTAATAGAGCACTCGAAATAAAGTTGTAATATTATATAAAGAACAGTCAAAGAGCAATTGAGTGTGAAACTCTGTAAGTTCGGTGATGGTTTCACTTGACTTAGACTTTGAATTGTTCGTTTTCGCTACCTCTTTATAGGGAGATTAGGAACTCCCGAGAGGGTTCACTAAAAAATTGAAAGACAACGGGTTCTGCCCGACTGACGAGACTGTAAGGTCGAAATACGTGTATCGGGCTGTAAGAGAGCCCATTATTGGACCACATGGCATGTCGGCTCAAGTAATAATTATGAGGCATCGTGTTTACCTTTTCGGGTATGCCATCCTTCTTGTCTCACCTCACGCGTCGGAAACTTGGCCGCTACATAATCTGTTAGCTGTCCTCACGTTGATCGCTGAGTGACTCGAGCGAGCACCAGTAACACTGCATTTTTCTCTATCTCGCGCAAGAGTAGTCCAGTGGGTTGTCCTCGCTATAGGAAGTCGTTGAGCATCATAACTTTGTCTAGGATTTTCGTGAAGAAATCGCGTCATCGGGTCAGTTGGGTTCCTGTGAAGCCACTACATATGCAGGATCAAAAGTCAGCGCTGTGGAATATTTTATGGAGAGGGCCGTGATAGGAGCATCCCATGCCTAGCAAGCCAGCACGTCAATTTGAAATTTCGACCCAAATCAACGATCTAAGATCACAGACTCGTCATATAAGGTGTAAGTGTCAAAAATGAAATAAATAGGACATACATACGTTTCAACAGTACCTGAAATTCTCACCTATTTGCAAGTTTGAAGCGATATCAAAAGCAGGGAAGAAGATGATGAGCACGATGACTGAACTTTTTTACAGACTTTCTACATTGAAAGTATGATGTTTTTTGATTTCTTAAAACGCGTATAAGCTACATGCTAAGTACACTTACAATTAAGTCAATGAATAGAGAGCCCATTAGCGACTACTTTAGTCATTCGACAACAGGAGATGAGAGTGAATCATATGAAACTATCTAAACGAAAGCTATTTTCCTAGC